AGCGGGGCAGTCTAGACACAGATCGGTCGACAAGGGAAGCCTTTGTCCATCGCTCCTGTAAACCTCGTTTCACGAGGCATAAGGGAACGGTCAACAAAGACTTCCCTTGTCGACTGATCCGCGTCTAGACTGCCGCACTGTGCTGGATCAGCTTATTGTCAGCACAGCGCGGTGGCCATTTTTATTTTAATGAAGCGGGGATTATTTAAATCCCCGCTTCATTGACTATGTCGGGTAAACTAGTTTACATGGCTCCATCGACAGAGCCATGTAGTCTAGACATACCATGGGTGTCAGGTTTGAGGAACATAGGCAGGGGGTGTGGTAAATATTTTGCTGATACATCAGTAAGGACAAATGCAAAGTACAGTAAAACTCCAGTTGTCCGGCATCCAGTGGTCCGGCACTCCTGCTAGTCCGGCATCACCTAGAACCCGGATGTGTTCCAGGCTGCTGGACAATTGGAGCTGCTCTGCCCCGGGCTTCCCAGAGACAGCCGCTGGTCAGTTTCAGCAGCGGCTGACTTGGGGACGCCTGGGACAGAGCAGCTGGGATGCTGCCGGGTTGGTCCCGCAGCGCTGCCCCCCCCATCTGTCCCACCCCACCCCAGACCCTTTATAGACCCCCCCCTTCTGATAGTCTGGCATATTTGATAATCTGGCACCCTCTGGGTCCTAAAGGTGCTGGATTATCGGAAGTTTACTGTACTCCACTTAAGAAGGAACAATCTGTTGTACAATTACAAAATAGAAAATGACTGTCTAGGAAGGAGTACCTCAGAAAGGGACTTAAGGGGTCATAGCAGATCAAAATGCTAAATATGAGTCAATAGTGTGACACTATTGCAAAAAAAAATCCCCCAAAACAAAAAACACAACCCCATCATTCTGGGAAGCATTAGCAGGAGTTTTGTAAACAAGACAAGATAAATAATTCTTTCACTCTGCGCTAACTGGAGTATTGGGGCCACATTTCTGGAAGGATGCGCACAAACTGGAGAAAGTCCAGAGAAAAGCAACAAAAATGATTAAAGGTCTAGAAAACATGATCTGTTAGGGAATATTGAAAGAACTGGGTTTGTTTAGTTTGGAAAGAAGAAGACTAAGAAGGAACATGGTAGCTTTCAAGTAGCTGAAAGATTGTTAAGAGGAGGAAGGAGGAAAAACTATTCTTCTTAACCTCTGAGGATAGCACAAGAAGCAATGGGCTTAAATTGAATCAAGGGAGGCTTAGGTTGGATATTTAAAAAAACAACAACTTTCTAACAGTGAAGATGGTTAAGCACTGAAATAAGTGGCCTAGGGAGGCTGTGGAATCTCTATCATTGGAGGTTCTTAATAGCAGGTTAGACAAACACCTGTCAGGGATGGCGTAGATAATATTTCTGTCCATGTGCACAGTGGACAGGACTAGAGGATCGTTTGAGGTCCCTTCCAGATCTACACTAGGGGGTAATGTTGAATTACATGAATAGTGTAGCTGGAGTTGTCGTAACGTAGTTTGAATTACCACAGTGCCCCCATTGCAAGGGATTAATGGGAGAAGCTTTCCAGGAGAGTACCGGAGTTGATGGGAGCGTGATCAGCCATTGTTTTAGCTAAATCTCCACCACACTGATCTCCCAGTACATGTAGACGAGGCTTATGATTCTTCGATACTTGGCAGTCTTTTTTCATTCCCTTGCCCATTCAGGGTACGTCTACGTCGACAAAGAACGTCTAGACTACATCCAGGTCTGTCGACAAAGCAAGTCGCTTTGTTGACATGACAGTGTAGATGCAATAACACCTTCTGTCGACAGAACTCTGTCGACAAAAGGTGTTATTCCTCATAAAATGAGGTTTACAGCCGTTGACAAAACCGCTGAGTTCTGTCGACATTATGTCGACGGAACTCAGCGGCGATTGGCAGGCTGCTTAGTTATCCGGGACAAATATATGTAGTCTGATATTTGAGAGGCATATCAGGGCAGTGTCCCTCTGAGTGGTTCCCGTTTGCTGCTGTGTAATCGTTCAGTGGTCTACGGAGCTGTCTACAGCAAACATTGTGCCTATTTCAGTTAGAGGCAGTCTGTGCACTCTTCAGATGACAAAATAGTTTGTCCCAACTATGACAGAGGTTAGAATTTTGTCACAATATATGTCAGGGGGTAGAGAGGAGGATGCCTGTGGAGTTCTGTGTGTTTTTATGCAGCCAAGTGCAGACTAATGCAGGCAGTATCCTGTTGCTATTCTGTGTGTTTTTATGCAGCCATAACATATGATAAGCCAAGTGCAGACTAATGCAGGCAGTATCCTGTTGCTTCTCTCATGGATTTCGACCCAGTCCCGGCTGCAGATAGCTGCAAACTTGTCCTGAAGCAGGAACTCAACATAGGCAATCACATTGTGGGGAAGAGAGTGTTTTCTAGGCCTCTGGAGCTGACCAGCCCACTCCACACATAAATGTGCTGTTCAGTCACTATGTGATTGAATTCTTTGACTGGATACACTGCAGGTTTCCCTCCAGCAGATTGGAATAGCATCTCCTATTGCCAGGAGATGCTACAAGAACATCACAAGAAAAGTTACATTCTCCAAAATGTGAAAGGCCTGTAATGATAGAAAAAGCTTTTATAGAATGGCCACCAGCTACCCTTTCCCTGATCCCCAAACTAAGTAGCTATGCAATTGTGGTAAAATAAAAACAGCTTGCGATTTTTAACTTATCATTGTCTCTGTGCCACTGTAACTATGATTAACCAAACTCTATCTAGGGAGATTCTGTGGGCTGAGAGCACCCCCCTCACAACATATTGCAGTTCATTTTTTAAATGTATCATTTTATATCCTTGTAATTCCACAAGATTTATTTCTGCTGTCCTCCACTGAGACATTTGAGACAACAACCTTCCATTTCTTGTCCTCTTGCTTGACCCCTCGACCTCTACTGACTGCTGTAGCTCCACTTCTCAACCTCAGTGCAGTAAGTTTGGACCGCTCCAAGCAGAAACGGTTCCGTGATTAAGTTATGATTGAAGTACTTGAGATGGTTTGATGAGCAGGTCCATTTACCAGAAAGGATCTTGAGATTGCGGAAGAGGCGCATAGCAAGAGGCAGAAGGAAAGGCTGAGACTGGCCATGCAGCTTGAGGACAGGGTTTCAGTGAAGCAGCAGGCACTTACTATGCATTTTCCAGAACAGTGGCTAAGGGAGGTGGAGGACAGAGTTCAGCAAAAAATTGACTTCTGGTGCTTGGTTGCATCTACCTCTCACTGTGGTAGCTGCACGTTCTAGCTGAGGCACTGATTCAGTAGCACTTTGCTGTCATAGGTCCCTGCAGGGAGAAATGTTTCACATCTGGCTTTACAGAGCTTGTGAAGAGCACAGCAAGCCACAGTGATGCAGACAGCATTGTTGGCACTGCAATCCAGACTAGTCTGTGGGCATCTCCAGTGAATTTCAGTCTGCCCAAAGCGTATTCAACAACCCTTCTGCAGCTGTGGAGAGTGTAATTAAGTAATCTTTTGCCAGGGCCTCTGAAATCAAGGTTTGGTTTCATAAGTGAAAGTAAAAGTGGGGATGCCCAGAGTAATGGCGGGGACAATAACTCTGTTTATGATAGTACCATGTGTTGGGAATATTGTCCCAGCTTATAGACAGTGGTAGCAACCTGCTTCTGGATGTGCATAGGTGCTCTTTGATGTGTGTTTTTATGCTGGAAGGTCAGGACAAGCTCTCACAAAGTTCCAGGAATGTGCCTTTCTTAAAAGTTCTCAACCCACTGCTGGTCATCCCAGATCTGTATGATGATATGATCCCACGAGTCCGTGCTTGTGGCCTAGTGCCTGAAGTCTACACAGGGGGCCTCAGAAACTATTCTGAATGTGTTGTGGGGCATCAGACTTCCATGTCTGAGTACTCCTCCTCCTCTTACTTCTTGTGGAGGGGTGTTCACCACAGTGCACCACAGCCTCAGTGTCCACATTTAGGAAGACACTAAGGGGTCTGTGATGTGATTGGTTTGATTTGGGTCTGCATGCTCCTGTGTGGACACCAAAGCCCCAAGTTTGAGCACTGCCTAGAAAAATTGTAACGTAGGGTCAAGAATAGGCATGGCTGCTCAAGCCCCAAGTTCTTAACACAGATCATCTGACTCAAGTCCCACTACTCCTGAGCTTACATTGCAGTGTAGACATGTCCTAAGAGGCTGGCTTGTACCATATTATGAAGGTTGCTGGGCAGTACGATTTTTATTAAAAGGCTATTTCTCTTTATGATGATCTCTAAATTATAGTGGGCACCTTTACAGGTTAAATAAATGCCTAACGCTAGGTGCACTCATGGCCATGGAATCTATGTATGTTGCCCAGACAACTGGTGGTCCCCAGTATCAGCTGCAGCAGGTAGTTCCTGCTTTCGCAGAGAGAACTTTGAACTAAAAAATTATCTAGCGCCTCACTGAATGGATGAATAAATTTTTACAAGAAAGAAATAAAGTTGCCTGAAATCCTGACAGAATTTGTGTGTCTTCACTGAGTAAACTAAAGGTGCACAGCAGAAATAGACTGATTTCTTTCTTTCTTTTTTTTTTGATTGGCAGGCTGCTTAGTTATCCGGGAACTGAAGAGGAAGTGCCATCTAAAAGAAGAGGGAAGTTTGGGGCTAATACCAGCTCCATGAGGAAATTAATAAAGTTTTTCTTGGAGAGTGAGGTAAGGAAAATGTAGATGGAGACAGACAAAAGATAAGAGGGGAGGCTTTCAAATCCAATGCAGCTGTTTGAGAGTTGGTACTATGAGGCTGCTAGAAATAGGAGGGAGAAGTAGAGTAAGGGAGGAGCACTTCCTTTTGGTTTCATGCTGAGAACTGTTGATCTTAGGACTTGATACTTTCTCAACTCTAGGATGATCTTAAGTAAAGTAAAACTCTATATGTGTGTTCAGTTGTACCAACACTCTGATTTACAGCTTCGTTAATGCAGAGAGGTGATATTGAACTGGCTTTCTGAAAAAATCAAGGACTTCTCAGCCAGGGATAGTAACTAAAGTGTAACTCATTTCAAGTTCCTAAACTGGAGTGGGAATTTTAGTTGTTACCAACAAATAGGTGATATTCAGGATAGCTTTGGGGGATAGTAGTCTTTTTAGGAAATCTTTCTTCTGTCCTGTAGGTAATTCTTTTTCTCCTATGCTGTTCTCCATATGGCAAACAGAAGATTTATTATTTAATTTGTATCTAGTAAAAAAATTTACACATTGAGGGGGGGAAAAATATACATACATACATACATACATATATATTCACACACACAGTTTTATAGTGGGGGGGGAAGTAATCTATATTTACATTTCAGTAAATGATGGATTCCATGGGTTTATGTTTTACTCTCTAGCTACATAAACACATCACGTACCTTGTAGACAGCCTGTGGGACTGGGCAGGCGGTTTGTTGAAGGACTGGGACTGCATGACCACTCTTTTATTGGAAGCTGCTGAAGGAGAAGGTAAGCTGAGTTAAGACAGTAATGTTGCCCAGATTATTCTTGTATTTACTAGAGGAAACGTCCTTCACCTTTAAACTATAGCAGCGTCACATGAAGAGCCATCTCTTGGTTGCAGAGAGCCACAAAACAGTTTTGGCTCAGTGTCCTGCCATGACTCAGTGCCCTCAAATATTGATGCAGTCTTCCTACAGAATCCTTGTGAGAAACTACCCAACAATTATGTCCTGAATATGTCCTCGGTGACTCCTCCCTTCTGTCTCTTTTTTTCTTCCTCCCCATCTGCCTGCTGGGAGGCAGAGGATGAAGAATGTTCTTCTTTTTCTCCTACTCAGAAGGTTAAGAAAGGATTCAAGGGGCTGCCAGTGTCTTTTGTTCTACACTGTTTCCTCCTCAAGAGTGAGTTGTGGATCAGGCAGCTCTGGGAGCACTCTGGTGAATGGCTCTGTACTTTCTGGAGGAGAAAATTGCCAGTCACATCCCTGGATTGCAGGAGAGCCGCAAATAGGGCCCTGAGAAGCAATAGGAGGTTCTAGAGTCACATTGAGCTCAAGGGTTCCCAGGAGATGATGAGTCTCAGACCTGATGGAAGAGGATGAAATTTTATTGGCATTAGATCTGAATTTGGCCCATTCTCTTTGGGGAAACGTCAGCTCTGTGATACTGAATATGTTGTTTTATTTAGCAAATAGAGTGGGGGTCCACTGGTAATGAGCTCAGTAAAATTAAATTTCCAAACAGTTTAGTGAGTCACAGTGTGTGTATTGTAGCTGTGGTTGTAATGAATTACACACACTAAGTTCACTGTAAGGTGGGAAGGAAAATGACTTCCCTGCATGAAGGTTTTCTTTGTATTCAGAAATCTTAATCTACCTTTTACATTTCAAGGAGCATATAGGTTTTCATGGGTGAGTAAAGAATCTAAATGTGCCTATCTTATTGAAACACAGTAGTGTGGAACTGATGTTCATCACGTTAAAGAAAAATGCTGTGATTTCTGAATTTCTTGTCACTTTCAGAAATCTGATATTTGAGAGGGTTTAGTTTTGTATAGAAAATGCCTTGAACACTCTTTATTGTGGCAGAAGTAGAAGTAATGCTTTGCTATGGGATCAAAGCACATAAGTCCAGATTTTTAAAGATATTTTAGGTGCCTAACTCTCAAAGGTGCAATTAAAAATTGATTATTTTTTCTATGTATAACATAGAAAAGAATTTCAATTTACATTCTTCATCTGTTTTTAGCAGTATCTCTCTCCTCCAAAAGTTGTTTTGAGCAGTGAGTAGGACTTTCCTCATTACCTATCCCTGCATCTTCACTTTACTTTTGTGAGATGCTGAGGGGATGATGGTTTGCTTACAGCATTGAGTGATGCCCAGGAAAGTGCCCTCATTGAAATCATCTTTGTGACTGTCCGAGAAGCTGCTGAAGGTCACCCTCCTGTGGGCAGAGGAGCTGCCAAGAAGGTCAGTGGATTTTGTTCTAATATATTTATTGTGCTGCACTCACATTTGTCCTCCTTATGTGGTCTGCCCACAACACTTTCCAGCCACGGCTACATTGGCAGAAAGAGAACAGCATTGTGTTTACAAGACAAGTACAATGCCTTTTGACCTTTAGAGAAAACATCTTACTATCAATGGATTTTGAATGAGATGAGCTATTAGAGAAAGCTCAGCTTAGTGGAAGCCATTTTATCCATTAGTAGATGTAGTTCAAACAGCATCCAAGCAGCAGTCTGGTTGTTCAACTGTAACTCAAGTGTTTTTTTTAATAAAGGGTCTCTGTCTCTCTGTCTCTCTCTGTCTCTTGTCTCTCTCTCTCTGAAATCCCATGGGGAGATATTTGACTCAGCCTGGTGATGTGTTAAAATTATATTGATGTGTAAAGTTAACCTTTGGGTAAGGGTAAGGTTCTAATCAACTCCAAGAGTATTTTATAATTGAAACTGAATGCTTTGTCTGTAGATCCTGTCAGCAAAAGAGAAGAAAATACAATTGGAAGATTGTACCAAAATTACTGAGCACTTTATTGTGGTGCTTCCTCAGCTCTTGGCAAAGGTAACTAGCAGCTGTTCCATGAACGCATGTTAAATATTTCATTAAAATTCCTGCAGCACACTCATATCCTGTTTTCCTCTGCAGTATTCAGCAGATGCTGAAAAAGTGGCGACCCTCCTGCAGATTCCCCAGTATTATGATTTAGATGTTTACAGTACTGGACGTCTGGAGAAGGTGAATAGGAACTGGGGCAATTGGGTGTGTGTGAAGCGGAGCAAGTTTATGAGACCATTTATAGGGCTCAGAGAGACATTGTTACAGCCAGGAGACTGTTGGTACATGAAGCATTACTTTATACCCTGTTGAAATGCTTCCTATTTGAACTGAAGCCACCAGAGAAATGCTTTAACATTTGCCTGTATAGCTATACCAAGGCAAGGTTGGCCTAAAGCCCCAGTGGATAATGATTTATGGCTTTGTGGAGGAGGCCCAGCTTTGGGAATAAACTAATGCTTCTTAGTACTTGGCCTTTTGTTGGACAGAGAAGAGGGGGAGTTACAACATGTATCCAAGTTGGTGTCTCCCAGCAGCTAACTGCAGAATGAGGTTGCATTCTCTTTGGAAACTGTCTCCCTTATCAGCTGCTGAGGGAGGATAGTAACTGCAAAGAGAAGAATGGGGATAGTATTTCTCTATGTGGAGGAGGGGAATTCAGGAATGGAAGGATGAGATCTGTGAAATAGCAAAGCCCGTATGTAAGTGGAGTGGATTGCTCAAATTAATCCCCTGTAAATATCCATAACAAGGCAAGGGAAAAATTGGATACTTGCTGCGCGCACGCATGCACACACACACACACACACACACTTAGGGGAAGCTAAAGCAGTAGCAATATGGCAGAAAGATGCTGTTACCTGTTTTTGTTTGTGTAACAAGCAATACTATCAGTGACCCACGTATAGAAATAAGTCCATCACAGAATGATGGGAGCTCTAAAACATGCATCATCTTGGTTAGGCAGCCTTGTATCTAGAGGGCACTTTCTTCTCTGCCCTCTTTCCCCTATGTCTCTTCTTTTATTAGCATTATTTAGAGTCAGTTGTGTTGCTAGACTTGGGGCTGAAATATGTAATTAAGTTTTTAGGAAGATGTTAAGGTGTACAACTATGCATATAAAATGATGGGTGTCTAAATTAGCTATTCCCACTCAAGAAAGTGGATGTTGGAGTCATTATAGATAGTTCTTTGAAAACTAGGCTTGTGAACGACTAGTCGACTATCCAATAAGCTTATCGGATAGTCGACAGGCCAGTCGACTAGTCACTCTCCCCCCCCCCCTCCAATTGCTGCCTCTATCAGAAAGAGGTAGCAAGGGGAAAGGGGGAGAAGAGAGATGTGCTTCAAAGCCACAGCGCCACGTGCAGCCTGAGGCCAGACCCCAGGCTCCATGTGTCGCTGCCGCTTTGAAATGCCGCGTGCAGCTCAGGGCCAGCTGGGGATTCCCCTGCTGACCCTTGGCTCCATGCAGCACTCCCGCTTTGAAACGCCGCGTGGAGCCTGACTCTGGGCTCTCCGCGGCATTTCAAAGTGGCAGCACCACATGGAGCCCGGAGTTAGCTGGGGACTCAGCTGCCACTTTGAAATGCCACGGGGAGGAGGCATCGCAGTGCTTTCGCCTTTTAAGTGTAGCAACATTCCTACTGAAAACGTCAGCTCAGCATGCAGCAGTGGTTAACAAAGCTAATGGAAAATATCATAATGCCACTATGTAGATTCATGGTACTCATACACCTTTAATAGTGTATGCAGTTCTGGTCATTCCATCTCAAAACAGATATATTAGAATTGGAAAAAGTATAGAGGAGAGCAACAAAAAATGATCAGGGCTATGAAACAGCTTCAAGATGAGGAGAGATTTAAAAAAGATGGGACTGTTTAGCTTAGAAAATATACAATGTGGGAAGATCATTAAATCTTGACTGGTGTAGAGAAAATGTTATCTACACCTTCACATAACATAAGAACTGGGAATCACTTGATTAAATTAATGTAGCAAGTGTAAAACAAACAAAAGAAAGTACTTCATCACACAATGTGCAGTCAACGTGTAGAACTTGCTGCCAAGAAATATTGTAATGGCTGAAAGTATTACTGGATTCAGAACAGAATTGATACATTCATGCAAGATGGGTTCATCAATGACTATTAGATGAGATGGTCAGAGATGGGTGCTGGGTGTCCCTATACCTCTGACTACCAGAAGTTGGGACTGGATGATAGGGAATAGATGTTAGATACTTGCTCTGTTTATTCCCTCTGAAGCAGCAGTCCCTGGCCATTATGAGAAGACAGGATGCTGAGCTAGGTGGACCATTGGTCTGACCTAGTATTGCTGTTCTTAAGTGACAGCATAAAAGGCAACAAACAAAATCTTGTCCCATGAACCCTGCCTGTCCTCCCCAAACTGGCATTTATTTAATTTTTGGTTGTATAAAAGTAAAAAAGTATAAATGTAAAATAGGCATAATATTGATTTGACTGTATCATCATGATCACTTGCAGCACTTGGATGTTTTGCTGCAAGTGGTGAAAGGTATTGTAGCCGAACACTCTGATGCGGATGTCCTCGAGGCTTGCTCCAGGACATACTATATCCTCTGCAATGAAGAACTGGCCATCCACAGGAGGGCAGATCTTGCCAGAACTCAGCTGATAGATGACTTGGTGGATAAATTTAATGAGCTGCTGGATGAATCTTGGCATGAGGTGCGTGTGACTGGAAGTAGAAATATGTGAAACATATCAGAATTAAAATGAAATAAATACAAAGGAGAGATGTACAGTATGGTAATCAGCTGTTTTTTCTTTGCTCCAAAGAGCACAAAGCTTACAGGGGCAGTCAGCTTACATTTTAAAGGAGAGAAAATTATGTTCTGGAAGGAAGAAGGGAAAGCGAAGGGATGGTGTAGTCTCTGGCACTAGAGAATCGGATTTCTGGGCATGCACTAATATGTGGATTCTTATGGCCAGAGCACCAACAGATATGCTATACCTGAACGACAGAGGGTTAATATTACTATTGGAAAATGCCCATATAAACTCTAATGAGACATGCTTGATGGATCTGTTAGGTACATCAAAAAGCCCTTTATAATTTTGTTGCTGTTTGGGGCGGGGGCAGTTAAGATAATTCTGTAGGTACTATTACATTAAAGTAGCTTTTGTGTCTTGAAAATAGCTTTTGCTTTCTGGAAGGAAGTCTGCTGATTTCTCTCCAGGGTTTTCATTAATTCTCAAAAGCAGGAACAGCAGGTGGAGATATGAATAGCTTTCTGGCTGGTTTTGACAACAGGACCATGTAGCTGATGAACTATGCCATCGCTAACAGGTGTCATGCCACAGCATGGAAGTTCAAACAAGTTGATTTTTATTGGGTGCTGGAATACTGTTAATGTGTCAGGCAAAAAAAATCATTTTGGATTTATTTTAGTAGTTTAAATAGACATCTATTCTAATGTGTATTTTTTTAAAATTAGAAATAAGGTTATAAGAGGCCAGCAAGGGTACTTAAACACTTGTGTAATGTTTCAGAGTGGTAGCCATGTTAGTCTGTAACTGAAAAAACTTAAAAAATAACAAATAGTCTCTAAGGTACTGCAAGACTAACAAAAAATGTAGATGCTATCATGAGCTTTTGTGGGCACGATTCATTCACCTGAAGAAGTGGGTTGTGGTCATGAAAGCTCATGATACGATCTACATGATTTGTTAGTCTCTAAGGTGCTGCAAGACTATTTTTACTTGGGTAATGTGTAACACAGTAAAGAGGTTGTCACATGGAACTCCTGTCTTCTCACCCTTGATTGGCAGGAGAATCTCCTTTGCTGTTTATGATGCTGTTGTATCCTTGTGGAAACTACAGCAATTGTATATATGGGAAAATAATACTCGGAAAGTATTTAATGTATTTTTAGCTCTCTGTGTGACTTGGCAGCTGAAAACAAGGAGAGCCAGCACCATGTGAGTAGCCAGGTCTCTGCAGGCCTCTAGCAGGTGCTTGGTGGATCAACAGTAGGCACACACCACAATGTGAGAATGTCTGCATTAGACTTCTTTGTGGTTTTTATTACCAGGACACGGAAGTGCAGAGAGGCAGCCGTGGGATGTTTAGTTATGAGGATGTTATAATGTGAGGGTAGCAGCATGGCATTTCCTAGGCGCATAACTAGAGCCCTGCAATTCTGCAGATATCCACTTTATATCTACAGGTATCTACATCTGCAGATGTGGGTGTGGATATCCACGACTCATTTTTGCAGATACAGATTTTGTATCTAGAACCCTGCAAATTAGTGGGTATTCTGCATCCATGGACGTGAATCTGCTTTATATCTGTGGGTATCCATGTTTGTGGATGTGAATGCGGATATCCGCACTCATTTTTGCGGCTACAGATTGCGGATGCAGATATAAGTTTTGTATCTGTGCAGGGCTCTACATATAACCTCTTTCCAACCCAGGTACATTATTCTTTATCTTAGGGAAGGGCCTGGGGAATATAATTGAACCTATGGCTAGTAGAGGAGCTAACGGCTGCCCCATAACACCTCTGTTTATTCTTTCCTCTTTCCTAACTTGTGTGATTTAGGGAGAAGGTCTTTGCACAGACGAAGAAGGAATTTGCCAAATATATTCCACTTTGAGAAGAATAACAGCTTTTCATAAGTGAGCCATTTGTTTACATGATTATTGCCTTCTTTTCCTATACTGCTAGCATGCTTCTATAAAACAGGAATTGCTGTTGGGTGGCTGTCAAATCAAGCTTGCATAAAAGGAAAAAAAATAGTCAGTAGGTGTGATGTTTGTGCATAGAACGTTCAGGTGGAATTCATTTTTATCACAAGTGCTTTTTCCTGTTAGTTTCTAGACTCTCCTAAATGTTGGCAGAATCTCTGTACAGAGAATTCTTGATGAACTTACTGGTAGGGCTTGAGTGGAAGTGATGAAGTCAATTTGAAGTCTGACCAGGACTGCTTACAGGATCAGAATATCACTATCTGCATGTAGACCCTTTAGTTGGAGCTGTTTCCATATCCTCCCTCCTATCTGGATACCATATGAACCACCACTGCGTCCAATCTGGCAATCAGCATATAAGGAAGGCAGTAAGAGAACTATGACTGACAGCAGGCACAGTATATTAACTCTAATTTGTCTGGTCTCCGTCTCTCAAAGAGCAAATCTCTGAAGCCCTTCTCTCATGTAGTGCAGAATGCTCTTGCTTGTTCTCTACTGGCCCAGTTCTGCAACTCTTGCTCACCTTGAGTAGGATCTTACCAATGACTTACTTGAGAATCCTTACCAAGTAAGATACTGAGTGTGTCAGAAATGGGCCATCACCTAGGAGTAACTTTCCCATTATCATGCATTGCTGAGATTCCCTGTTGCTCCAAAAAAAAACCTGTAGGGTAGTGGTTCCCGAACTTTTTGGCATCATGCCCCCTTTTTGATTTTTGAGAAACCCTCACGAAGCAGCAAAACTTGTTGAGCCAAAAAAAAAACAACCAAAAAAACCCACCTGACCGGAAAACAAAAATAGCAGCAAAACTTAGGGGGGGGGGGCAGAGCTGGGGAGAGGGCTGGGTTGCCTCAGCCCCCCCATTTCTCCCCCCCCCCCCCTCCAGTTTGGTAACCCATGCTCTAGGGCTGAGTCTACACTTAAAACGTTGACGTGCTGCTTTGGCAGCACTTTAAAATGAAGGTATGGCCACAGCACCAGAGCTGGGAAAGAACTCTCCTAGTGGTCTACTGAAACCATCTAAACAAGGAGAGCAACTTGGGGCTTCCAGCACTCGGAGCCCATTTACACTGGCGCTTTACGAGTCTGTAATTTGCTGTGTTCACGGGGATTTTTTTCCGGTGAGAAACTGTAGGCATGGCCTAATGCTGTTTAAGGCATGAAGCCTGAGATCTCTTTTGGAAAGTACAGTAGAACGTCAGCGTTACAAACACCTTGGGAAAGGAGATTATTTGTAACTATGAAAACTTTGTAACTCTCAATAGAATGTGATGGTGGTTCTTTCAAAAGTTTATAATTGAACTTTGATTTACCATAATGCAGCTTTGAAACTACTATGCAGAAAAAGAATTCTGCTTTCCCTTAAACGTTTTTAGTAGTTTATGTTTAACACAGTTCTGTACTGTATTTGCGGGGAAGTTTTTTTTGGTCTGCTGCTTCCTGATTGTTTACTTCCAGTTCCAAATGAGGTGTATGGTTGACTGGTCATTTCATGAACTTTGTGGTTCTACTGGATGTGTGTTTGGAGAGAGCATTTCTGGTTTGTGTGGAAAAAGTGGAGCAGTTCAGTTTACTTCTGCATATTCCTATTCCTTTGGTTCATGGCAAGCGGTATATTTGTAGCAGGAACAAGTCTGTGTGATAACTTTGGAAACAATAGGCTAAAGGCTATAATTGATACAGGGCATCCCTGCTAATTGTCCAAGATACGTTCCAAAAAATGTGGACATATAGCGAAACAATGTAAAGTGGGGAATTTTTTCCCTATGGCTGACTTCTGTTTGTGTGAATTGGTCTCTCTCTCTCTCTCCCCCCCCCCGCAACGTAACAGTGGGGAATAGAAGGATTTATAACACAACAGTTCCTACAAGCATCAATGACACTAGTGAGGAACTAACGTATGCCAGGGCAGCGTATCGTGGGAATGCCCTGTATTAGGCTGTACTTTTATCTGTATTTTCCTTTTTCTGTCTATAATGAGAGCTTCTTTGTACTAGAAGATTTCAAGCATCTCTTTTTAGCAGATTCATTGTAAAGGGCAAAAACTATGATCAGTTTTAACGTTTGTCATCAAACTGGAAGGAGATCCTTGTGCTTCACGTGCCTACGTACAGTTTGCATAGATGGAGGCTGTTTTATTTCGAAATTATTATATAGCTCATAGGGAACATAAGGATACAGCATGTGCAAAATTGGTTAAATTTTTTTGAGGTTTTTGTCAATTAGTCATCTGTATCCATTAGATGCTGACACAAAGAGAATACATTTACAGGCAGTCCCCGGGTTACGTACAAGATAGGGACTGTAGGTTTGTTCTTAAGTTGAATTTGTATGTAAGTCAGAACTGGTACATATTGTAGGGGAAACTCTAGCCAAACATTTCTCCAGAGCTCAGTTTTATTCTCCCACACCTCACTTCCCTCAGTCCTTTATTCTCAAGCTGAGGTGTCTGCTGAGAAAAGCCGCTCCGCGTCTCCCTGGTCTGCTGGGGGGGGGAGGGGGGGCGCTAGCTTCGCGTCTCCCTGGTCTGCTGGGGGGAAGCAGCTAGTGCGGGGTTGCCTCACCCCGTTTGTAAGTAGGGATCCGATGTAAATCGGATCCATGTAACCCGGGGACTGCGTGTACTTATTATACATGTAGTGAGATTTTTCTTTCTTCTCTTTATAAATTTAGATTTTACTATGAATGTCATCAGCCTTTTCTCCAAATAAAAATGTAATCTCTTTGATAGCTGTTAGGAGCAGGTGGGGAGGGATAGGACTGTTACAAACAGTAGCTTTTCTCTTTTCGATGACCTTAGCATGCTATTTATTTTCCTTTTTGACTGGCAGTGCTCACGATCTCACCAGATGGAATCTCTATGGGAAGATTTCAAAGCTGCTGGTTTTTGAGATGAAGCATGGGAGTTTACCTGTTCAGGTAAATTGACAATACTTAGCACTAATAAAGCATTTATCCTATTCAAAATACTTTACAAATGTAAACTAAACCTTACACTAAAGCCCTGCAGGGACTATTTTTTAATCCCGCCTCTGTCCTGCCCTGCAATACCCATTCCCACCCATTCCTGCATTGTTTCTTGCATTTTTATCTTCGCTGACCTTCAAAAGCTTTAGATCCCCCAAATCCCATAAGAGAGTGATTGTTCCATGCTACTAATAGCCTAAACAACAAGAAAAAAAGACAGTTAACGTAATATATATTTGAGAGAGTTTGTCTGTGTGTCTGTCTGTCTGTTCAAGAACTCCTTCTAAATGGTAAGAGCAAGTACCACAAAAGTACCACCTTTTATCATAACTTAAAGCAGGGGTTGCCAGCCTAAACCTAAGAAGGAGCCAGAATTTACCAATGCACATTGCCAAAGAGCAACAGTTCTACCACTGGCAGCCCCACCGGTTTCCCACCACCACTCTCAGCACATCCCGCCCACTGGCAGCCCCACCGGTCAGCGCCTCCTTCTTCTTTTCCTCCTGCCCACTGTGATCTGCTCTTTCTCAGTGGGAGACACTGGAGGGGGGAAGCATGGGTGTGACAGGCTCAGTGGAGAGGGTGGGAAGTGGCAGAATCCTAGGGGGAAAGGGTGGAGGGGGACAGCGCCTAGAGCAGAGCTGAGGGTCGAACAGTGAGCACCCCCCAGCCCAGTGGAAAGTTGGCACCTACTGTAGCTCCAGCCTCAGATTTGGTACCTTTGCAAGGAGCCGCATATTAACTTCCGAAGAGCCATGTGTGGCTCTGGAGCCACAGGTTGGCCACCCCTGACTTAAAGCAAGGCACAAGGGTTTGGTTGTGCCAGGAAAATGGGATGTGCCTGGAATGAGGTTGCTTCTCAGAAAATGAAACAGAAAAGAGATAGACTAACCACATAGGTGAAAGGGGTTAGCTGGAAGTGGAGGCATGCCCCTTCCTCCAGCTGGGACTGCTCCAGCCCTGAGCCTCTCACCCTCTCCTGGCAACATTTAGGGAGGGCAGGGGGGGAGGGAGGACTGAAGCTCCCCCCCAATTAATACAGGAACATTGCTGGCTGTTCCCTTTGTCAGGGAGCAAGGGGAAAGTGCACAGTTTGCTGCATTTTTCACTCTGGCTGGGGAGTGCAGGGGGCAGGCGAACCTGAACCTGCCCTTGCCTGGCTGTGCCCATTGGAGCTGCAGCGGCATGGTCAGGCGCTTCTCATCTGCACCCAAGCTGCTGCGGTAACAGAGGCCTGGGGTAGTCCTCTCTCCCCGGTGCAGCCTGTATACTGGACCCCTCCTCCCCAGCTCCACCCTGACCTCAATGATTTAAATTAAACATGTACCTTTTCATTTTATTTTGCAAAAAACCCCAAATATTAATTGAGTTAAAGATCTGAGCAATGCTAGGTAAGTATTTTTAGTACATTTTATATATATATAAATGCAATTTAGACACACTTTTTAAGAGTAAAAGAATAACATAATCTTGCTTAGACTATGTAAAAATCCTTTATTTCCTTATATAATGGATATCAGATCTCTTTCTATCCTTTGCTTACATTTAATTATTAAAACTCTTATTTTTTTTTAAACCCTTGCTTTACATTACTGAAATTCTGTTTGGCAAACTGACAAGTGATTCATTTCCCCCCACACACAAATTACTGCAGTCTGGGTTTTTTCCTCAACCCAAGCCCACCCTCAATGAAATACATTTACCTGCTCCGCTGTTATGGCAGTGAGTCCTGGGGGACCCATGGGATCCCAGTCTCCAGTGACAGTTCTACATTATCTGTCAGGGAGATGAATGTTGTTATTCCCATTCCACAGTTTGGGAGACTGAGACATAGAGAGCCAAGTTAATCTCTGTTGACTTCTTGTTGTACTCAGTGGTATTAAGACATGAATTTATTCAATGCAAAGTTTGTCCAGTGCTATGCTGGGGGTGTCGTTGTTGGAGTCTGGAATAGTTGTTTTCTTAGACAGGGAACTCACTTTCTCTATTCTGCAATGTTGTTATGAACAAAGTGCAAGTAATTCAGGGATTTGCTTGTCACTTGTGGATTGAATGTAACTCAAAATGAAAATATTTCAGATCTGTTACTTGCAAAACAAATAGTGAAGCCAATTTGTTTATCAACTAATGTCTAAACTATAAACTTCAAGTTGCCTGTTCAGCATTAATATTGCTGGAGATAGAATTACTGCTCAGCATTACAGCCTGATAGCCTCCAATGGCCATGAATACCTAATGCCAGATTAGCAAAGTACTTAAGCATGTGCTTACATCTGCATTGAAGTCAATGAGACTGAAATGCTTTACTCAATCAGGGTATGTCTACACTACAGCACTAATTCGAACTAACTTAATTCGAACTAGGTAAACCTCATTCCACGAGGACTAATGCCTAGTTCGAATTAGGGAGGTCGAATTAAGGGCTGTGTAGCCACTTAATTCGAACTAGGTAAACCTCATTCCACGAGGACTAATGCCTAGTTCGAATTAGGGAGGTCGAATTAAGGGCTGTGTAGCCACTTAATTCGAACTAGGTAAACCTCATTCCACGAGGACTAATGCCTAGTTCGAATTAGGGAGGTCGAATTAAGGGCTGTGTAGCCACTTAATTCGAACTAGGTAAACCTCATTCCACGAGGACTAATGCCTAGTTCGAATTAGGGAGGTCGAATTAAGGGCTGTGTAGCCACTTAATTCGAACTAGGTAAACCTCATTCCACGAGGACTAATGCCTAGTTCGAATTAGGGAGGTCGAATTAAGGGCTGTGTAGCCACTTAATTCGAACTAGGTAAACCTCATTCCACGAGGACTAATGCCTAGTTCGAATTAGGGAGGTCGAATTAAGGGCTGTGTAGCCACTTAATTCGAACTAGGTAAACCTCATTCCACGAGGACTAATGCCTAGTTCGAATTAGGGAGGTCGAATTAAGGGCTGTGTAGCCACTTAATTCGAACTAGGTAAACCTCATTCCACGAGGACTAATGCCTAGTTCGAATTAGGGAGGTCGAATTAAGGGCTGTGTAGCCACTTAATTCGAACTAGGTAAACCTCATTCCACGAGGACTAATGCCTAGTTCGAATTAGGGAGGTCGAATTAAGGGCTGTGTAGCCACTTAATTCGAACTAGGTAAACCTCATTCCACGAGGACTAATGCCTAGTTCGAATTAGGGAGGTCGAATTAAGGGCTGTGTAGCCACTTAATTCGAACTAGGTAAACCTCATTCCACGAGGACTAATGCCTAGTTCGAATTAGGGAGGTCGAATTAAGGGCTGTGTAGCCACTTAATTCGAACTAGGTAAACCTCATTCCACGAGGACTAATGCCTAGTTCGAATTAGGGAGGTCGAATTAAGGGCTGTGTAGCCACTTAATTCGAACTAGGTAAACCTCATTCCACGAGGACTAATGCCTAGTTCGAATTAGGGAGGTCGAATTAAGGGCTGTGTAGCCACTTAATTCGAACTAGGTAAACCTCATTCCACGAGGACTAATGCCTAGTTCGAATTAGGGAGGTCGAATTAAGGGCTGTGTAGCCACTTAATTCGAACTAGGTAAACCTCATTCCACGAGGACTAATGCCTAGTTCGAATTAGGGAGGTCGAATTAAGGGCTGTGTAGCCACTTAATTCGAACTAGGTAAACCTCATTCCACGAGGACTAATGCCTAGTTCGAATTAGGGAGGTCGAATTAAGGGCTGTGTAGCCACTTAATTCGAACTAGGTAAACCTCATTCCACGAGGACTAATGCCTAGTTCGAATTAGGGAGGTCGAATTAAGGGCTGTGTAGCCACTTAATTCGAACTAGGTAAACCTCATTCCACGAGGACTAATGCCTAGTTCGAATTAGGGAGGTCGAATTAAGGGCTGTGTAGCCACTTAATTCGAACTAGGTAAACCTCATTCCACGAGGACTAATGCCTAGTTCGAATTAGGGAGGTCGAATTAAGGGCTGTGTAGCCACTTAATTCGAACTAGTGCATCTAGACCTAAAAACTAGTTCGAATTAGCGTTTTGCTAATTCGAACTAACAGACGTTAGTTCGAATTAACTTTGTAGTGTAGACATACCCTCAGGGACTTAATTCAGTGAAACAGGTTCTGAGAGAATCTGGTTTTGGGATCTAAATGTCTCATGCTGCAGAGATACTAGTACAAGCAGCATACAGAATATGAGATGTTGATTCTTTGCTTTCACTACCAAGCCTTTCACATTATTAAAAGATATGTACTTTTATTTCAGATGATCCTACCAGCTCTACAGTGCACATACTTTGCTCTCTTGTGGCAGCTATCTTCAGTTGTTGAGAGGTCATCTTCCAAGGTTGGCTAGTGCAAATAATTCTGAAACCAAGTGTTATACTTTAAAGGTTCACATTCACTTGCTGTTCTTTCATGGCTTTCCCAAAATGGTCCTGTGAATATTTCCTTGGAGGAACCACATTAGGATCAGGCATTTTTCTCTTCTGAGTTTTTAACATTGGAAAAGTGTAGGCTTTTAAAAATCGCTGTGAGGATATAATTAAATTGAGCAAATGCTCTTCTGTGTTCAGTACAATGTTCTGTGTTCCTGAATCCTGGCATATCCTTGTGTGTTGTGAGCAAGATACGAGAAGTCATTCTTCTGCTCTACTCTGTGCTGATTAGGCCTCAGTTGGAGTATTGTGTTCAGTTCTGGGCACTGCATTTCAAGAAAGATGTGGAGAAATTGGAGAGGCTCCAGAGAAGAGCAATGAGAATGATTAAAGGTCTAGAGAACATGACCTATGAGGGAAGGCTGAAGGAATTGGGATTGTTTAGTTTAGAAAAGAGAAGATTGAGGGGGGACATGATAGCAGTTTTCAGATATGTTAAAGGTTGTTATGAGGAGGGAGAAAACTTGTTCATCTTGGCCTCTGAGGATAGAACAAGAAGCAATGGGCTTAAACTGCAGCAAGGGAGGTTTAGGTTGGACATTAGGAAAAAGTTCCTAACTTTCAGGGTAGTCACACACTGGAATAAATTGCCCAGGGAGGTTGTGGAATCTCCATCTGTGGAGATACTTAAGAGTAGGTTAGATAAATGTCTATCAGGGATGGTCTAGACAGTATTTGGTCCTGCCATGAGGGCAGGGGACTGGACTCGATGACCTCTTGAGGTCCCTTCCAGTCCTAGTATTCTATGGCGGAGGCAAGGATTTGCTTGATAAACAGATTTTTAAAATTAAAATAAAAACAACAGCGATGATACAATATTCAATGAAAACCCTTGGAATTCAGTCTTTACATATGTTTGTGTTTAATACACTATAGCCGTGTCTACACTACACCCCTCTGTCGGCAGAGAGATATAAATAAAGCACATCAAAAGCGCAAATGAAGCAGGGATTTAAATATCCTGCGCTTCATTTGCATAATCACTTTCAGGTGCTGTTTTGAGCAAGCGCCATTTTGAAACTGAAACAGCGGTTTAGATGTGGTTCTGCGGACAGCAGGGTGATTTTTCGACAGATCCTGTATTCAAAAAAACGAGTAGAACAGGATCTGTTGAAAATCACCCCGCTGTCGGCAGAACCGTGTCTAAACTGCGGTTTCAGTTTCGAAATGGCGCTTGTTCGAGACAGTGCCAGAACGTGATTATGCAAATGAAGCACGGGGTATTTAAATCCCCGCTTCATTTGCCCGTTCAATGTGCTTTATTTCCATCCCTCGGCTGACAGAGGGGTGTAGTGTAGACCTAGCCTATGATATGCATGAAGAATGCCCAAGACAAGTGTTAGGCAATCTTACTATCAGTTTTTTACTATAATAATTATTTATGAATTGATATTACACAGCACTTAAAAGCATGCTAAGCACTTCATGGGCTATGTTAGTTTTAAAGTACAAAAATGCGAATGCTCATACATTTGATCTACATACAAATAAAAACAAGTATGTAGTTTCTGTCTAGAGATTTCTGACTTCTATGAGAATTGCTGTCCTCTTCCTCTTTTGTACCCCTGTAAACAGAATAAGATACAGGCAGTCCCCGAGTTACGTGGATCCGACTTATGTCGGATCCACAGTTACGAACGGGGATTTTCTCGCCCTGGAGGACTGGAGCGGCGAGACGCCTGGTCCCTCCACCCGCCTCCTCCGGGGCGAGAAAAGCTGCTCCCCGGCCCCCGGGCTGGGGGGGGGGGGGGGGTCCAGCAAAGCTGCTGGACCCCCCCAGCAGACCAGGGACACCCGAGCAAAGACACCCAGGCAGCGGGACTCCCGCCGCCTGGGCGGCTTTGCTCCTGTCCCCCTGGTCTGCCTCCAGTGACGATACCGGAACTCTCTGCTGCCTTGTGCTGGCATTGCTAGGGACGTTCTGCCTACCGGCCTCTTTTCCTGTAAAATAGTTTGTTTGTAGTTCATAATTATAATGGTTCCTTAGTAGTTTTAGAGTGACTTAGAATTAGATAATTGGTCCCAACCAGGACTTTGTCTTGGCATGGGGCATCCCCAGTTTTAAGCCACGTGATCTGTAAGCATCCTATGGCCCTCAGTGGTCCTTGCAGCAGCTGCCTGAGGTGTCTGGGAGGAGGACGCATAAGCGACAACTGATGCATTTGTAAGTCATTTAAACCCAGGATGAAGAGGGAGCAGGGCGTTTGTCTCTGAGTGCTCCTGATGGAGTCAGTGTTAACTCTGGCAATGGAGCAGAGGCCCAACTTGGCCTCCAAGCACTGGGCACTGGTGCAGAGTGCCTAACCGACACCCTCTGCCAGCTAGCACTGGTCTCACGCCCTGGCCCTATCCAAGAAACTTGCAAGGAGAAAATCTCCCACTTCCCGTAAGTGAAAGGGAAGGACCAGAGGACAGCTGACTTGGGGACGCCTGGGGTTCTTAAGTTGAATCTGTATGTAAGTCGGAACTGGTGTCCAGATTCAGCTGCTGTTGAAACTGATCAGTTTCAGCAGCGGCTGAATTTGGATGCCAGTTCCGACTTACATACAGATTCAAGTTAAGAACAAACCTACAGTCCCTATCTTGTATGTAACCCGGGGACTGCCTGTACCAACATTGGAAGTGGCATTTTTTTATTTTTGATGTTTCAGAAGTGATAGAAGGGAACCAACCATTTAGGGATTGATTCAATAGATATACATGTCTTGGGGACCCATTCCTGTCCTTTGCTAGGTGTCTGTGTCCATCTTTTCTCTAATCTTTTCCCTCCCCATAAATTTTAGGAGGCCCTTTTCGCACTAAGCAGAGAGTTGAGATTTTTCTGCCAGATTTGTGCATGCTACTTCAGCCATGAAGATAAAGATTTAAGTGAAAAGGTCAGTGGCTCTTTAGGGGCTAGTTTGTTTAATGATTTGTTCATTCATTCTTCCTTGAAATCTTTTTCTTTCTTTATTTTGCTTTTTAAAAGCAGTGTCCTTGTTAATGAGAGCACTGTGCTCTGCAAAAGCACAGTAATACATTTGCATGGAGCCAGTTGCAGGACTGGAGGTTAAGTTTGGATTGCATTGTTAAATAAAACTGAAGTGAAAATATAAATAGCAAGATTGTTTGTTTCTCCTCTGCAGTACTTGTGCTAAGTGCTGTTGCTAGGATAATCCTTGGGATACATTATTCAGCCTTTCATTAATAAAATGTATTACAAGGATTTGCAAAATATTCTTAAATTGTACATGTAAAACAATGCTAACATTTCTAAAATGCACAATGTGCTATAATCCTCATCTGGACTACAGCTCTGGACTTCATTGGTCTCTGGCTCTATGGACGGAAGAAACAGATGAAGTCTAGAGGTTTAAGCACAAGACCAGATATTAGGAATTTCTGAGTTCTAATCACAGTTCTGCCATTGACTGTCTGAAGTTTTTCCATCTGTAAAGCAAACAGAACAAAATTTACCTTGAAGTGTTTTTGGGATGGATTAATGTGTGTCATATGATTTGAAGACTAAAAGCATTAACATGATTATATAAACTGAGGTCACAGCATGGTGCCACTCTGGATTGGGAGTTGACAGGTTGTGATTCAAGGAAACTGAACTGGAGTGTGGCAGAGGAAACAAAAGGTTGCTGTTTTTGTTGCTGATGTGCTGTGAATGCTCTTTCTGACTTTGGTTAATTGGCAGGACACCTTCAGCACGTATTATTGAAATAAATTGATTTTTCATATTTGCATTTGCAGTTCTCCTTTTAACAATCACTACACTCACTGTTGGTGTGAGTGTATTTACTGCTCTTGTTTGTTTATAAATGCTTGAAAAAATGGGTTTCCTTGCTGAGATGTAACTGCAGAAACGGAAAACCAGGAACAAAGTGTTCCATAGTTCAGCTCCCGAGACTTCTAAGAAGAGTGACATTGGCACATGACAGAATGCAGGTTTTTTTTATACAAGTTAGCAAATCTTCAGCAGATGGGAATGGGGATTAGTATGTTGCTCTCACAAATTCTTGATCTCCAGAAGGGCTGAGCTAAGGGTACTCCATACTTTTGAAACCAGGCCCAAAGTCAGAGCTTTGGTCTCATAGCAAAACTAGTTGATAACCGAGATGGAAAAATATCGTTGGTCTAGCAGCTTTTCCCGAACTTCCTAAATCCTTGTTTGGTATGTGTATATGTTACAGGCCTTCATGATACTCTGTGATTTGCTGATGATTTTGAGCCACCAAGCTTTGGATGATGATGAAACTGTAGGAATTATTCAGTATCTTCCCAGCACATCCCTTCAGTCAAAAATGCTCTTGTTCATTCAGGATCACGTTTTCACAGAGGAAGAAGAAGAAATCAAAGGTCAGCCACTTTCCTCAGCAGGGAAGTAAATTAATGTTTGCTGATGCCATTCATCTGCAGCGTTTGACATTGTCAAAAGAAAGGATTGCTAATTTTTTGGATTTCTTCACAAATGGAGCTGTAGCATGTGAATACAAACACAATGGATCACTCAGTGTATGGCAATTTATGTCTGCTGTGGCTTTACCAAGGGAGGTATTGCTAATATAAAAGGGGCTAAGGTGGTTGTGTTATGCTTATAAGAAGCACACAAGATCTTTTTCAGGGGGATAAGGCAACACGCTACATTTATTGATACTATAACAAAGTAGCAAATGCACGTGTGCGCAAACACACACACACTCCTCCCCTCCCCGCTGATGGACAACTATGCTCACCCACTCCCTGGTGTATATTGAATCACAAATTGAGCATGAGTCAACAGCGTGCTGGAGGGGTGAAAAAGGCTAATATAATATAACACTTCTCAGGGATGGTTTGGGTTTACTTGTCCTGCCGCAGTGCAGAGAGCTGGACTAGCTGATTTTTCAAGGTCCTTTTCAACCCTACATTTCTATGGTTCTGTGATACTCATCTAGCAATCTGCTGTGAAGAACTGGATATGGTGAAAAATTCCTCAGTCCTCTCAACTTTCCCCCCTCCTCCATCTTACTTTCTCCCCTACAATAAACTCAACAAACTCTTTCATCCGGGAATGATTCCTAGTCTTTTCTCTGCCTTGAACCCGTCTGCCTGTCCTGGCAGTTGCCCCCTATCAGTTGTGACCCTGACAGTCACACGATCCTGGTTAGCCTACCTGCCTCTCATTGGTTCCTAGGCTAGAGGCTGGGTTTGAGACCCAGAAACAGGTAATTGGGCCTGCTAGACCATAGATGAGGGAAGCTCTCTGGCAGTCAGTAGGCTGAATTAATGCCGGGCAAGAGTCTCTCCCTCCCATACTTTCCTTTGTAGGTAACTATCTCCAAGCACCTCAAGCAACTAGGCTGGCAAAAACTCTAAAAGCATCTGGTTCTCAAAAGTGTTGTTATTTGTACTGAAGTAATGCTTGTGGGCCCGTTATGGACCAGGACCTGAGTGTGTTAGGCATTATACACCCACAGAACAAAACAACCTGCCCCAGAAAGTTTACAATCTATGTAATTGTCATCCACTTGAGAACTAACCATTTTCCAAATGGTTCACATATTCATTATCTGCAAATTCTTTTTCCTCTTCGCTGTTGTTGATAACCACTTAAAAACTGGCAACTAAATTCTTCTTCCATGGGATCCAACTTTTTTAAGCATGAGATCACTTTTTGAATTGTGCAATCCAAACTCTACCTCAAACCCAAATACTCTTACCCTGCCCCCTTTGTGCCCCTTCTCTGAGGCCTCACCCCTGTGGAAGAAAACATTGTCAAGAAGTTCGGATTGCATGAGCCCAACGAGGCAGACAGCTCCACAGGCAGTCCTCCCTCTGACCCCCTCAGAGATTTCAAAAGGTCTCTTACCTCTCGCAAGGCGCCTTTGGGGTTAGCAGGGGAGACGGCCTGCAGCAGCTGCCGCTGCCCTCACCCGGGCGTTGCCATCCGAGTCACGGCACCAAATTGTGGAAGAAAACGAGCCTTCACTCTGCGTTGTGTTTAAGCAACAAGTAGCCAGAGGCAGTTTATTCGAGCAATATTGCAAGGGAAGATGTCCATAAGCGGATCTTCAAATACAAAACAATTAAAAGCCAATATATATACCTTTCTATTACATATAAAATTAAACAATTACTTCCCTGCCCACTCAGTTCCCATCGGACACTGTCTTATCTCAAGGCTCTCACTGAGGTAAGCATTCCACTCTTATCAATATGGGAGAGACAGAGAGGCGAACACAGTGTCTCTTCTGGCTCTCGCGTTAGCAGGAGTCAGAGTGACCCAGACTCCTGCTCTGCTACTGACAAACCCTGAAATAGTCACCCAAATCCCCTTTCCCTTAGTCCTGCTTCCACACCCCCTACTCACTCCCTCTCTCCCCCATCCTCCCTCACTTTCACCAGGCAGGGGCAGCGGGTTGGGGTGCAGGCTCTGGTCTTGGATTAAGGGATTTGGAGTCCAAGAAGGGCTCTGAGCTGCTCTTGGGGCAGGCAGTTGGGGTGTCAGAGGGGGTTCTAGGTTGGACTCTGGGGGATGTGTTTGGATGCAGGAGTGCTCAGGGCTAGGACAGGGACTTGGGGTGCTGGGGCGGGGGGGTTCGTGACTAGGATAGGGTTTTAGTATTTGGGCTTCAACTAGACACTGCTTATCTCAGGTGGCTTCTGAGTGGTGGCAAGTCAGGCTCACCCCTGCCCTGGCACTGCACCATTCCCAAAAGCAGCCAGAAAACTCCATCCCAAGTCCTCTTGTGCCCCCTCCCCCACTCTGTGGAGCTAGGATACAAGGTGAGAGAGGGGGCACCTTGACATCAGCACCCCTTTTCTCCTTACCCTGCCCTGCCGGAGGCTCCTGGGGGTGGGGGGAGGCAGCTCCAAGGCAAAGGGCAGGAGGTGTGCAGCAGCAGGGGGAGGGGCAGCTGAAGTACCGGCACTTAATAGCCTCTTGGCCAAACCAGTCAGGATCCCCTGTCAGAAGCTCCAAGATCTACCAGTAGATCCCAGTCTTCTGGTTGGTGACCACTGATGTACTGCTTGTTTGTGTGGAGGTACTCATGAACTGGGTGTTGGGTGCTGGCACTGATTTCTTTTAAGGAAAGGATGCGGATATGGTTCATCAGTTTTTTTCTATCAGGTGTGTTTGGATTTGGTTCTGTGCTCTGTGTTAATCCTGTCCTACAGCTATAGCCAGGATCTTACAAGGAGATTCTGACAGATAGAAATGTGAAATCCCTGGAAAGATCAGAATGAAAAGGATATGCAGATGAGCAGCTTGCACGGTCATTAACTGTGAGCTTTGAAATGGAAATACACCTATATTCTCTGTTAAGGATAGCATCTGTTGTTTAGAGAGTTGACTGAACAACTGAGTTTGTGTTATTTCGATTAAAGCTGGTCTTAAAAATAGAATCAATTGAGTAAAATGTTAGAACAAAGCTTTAGCACACTTAGGGTGACCATCCATCCTGTTTCACATGGGACAGTCCCTTATTTAAGTCCCCTTACATGTGTCAACTTAA